AAATAGTGAGACTAAATTTGAAAATTTCTTTTAGTTTCTAAAAAAAAACATTATCATTCTAGCGTGTGTCACATTACGACATTGTGCAGGGCTTATGTAATATGTCATCGTACGAAAACCTACCGCGCACATACAATACAAATTTAAATATGCTCGCAGTCAGTGGTCTACTACTATAAAGACTGAAAATTTGTGAGACTGAGACTTAAAATTTCGAGAAAACACATTTCCATCCCAATATGTGTCACTTTAGGACAGTCAACAAAACATATTTTCATCCACCATTCTAACAAATGTAATACAAACTTAAATTAGCTTGGACGACTGCAACGAGCGAAATTTTGTGGCACTAAATTTGAAAAGGATTAGGAATTCTGAATTATTTCCTTCTATTTAGTAGAAGCACATTTTAGTCAAAACGTATTTCGCACAGCAAATTTGATTTGGCTTGAACCACTGTGAAGAGCTGAATTTTGCAGACTAGCTTTGAAAATTAAAAAGGAACACAAACTTATGAATAATTTTATTCGTTTTGCAAGAACACAACATTAGTTAAACCCCCGAACATTACAATATCATATATATTTTGTTGTTCTCAGTTACCATATAAATAAAAGTGGACATTACACTAACCAAGATGGCGTGTCCGCTATAAAAAGGATAGACTTCATGGTCACTAAGATCCCAGGATAGTTAATGGTAGAATGCTTTACTTGTTGAAACTCCATTATCAATAAAAGAAACGAAAGTAAAGTTTTAGAAATTTGTTCACAACAATTATTTCACCATAACATTAGCTTCTTTAGGTGAAGATATTCTGATTAAAATTATTACAAAATTAGCATAAATACTGAAAGTTTACAAATCTGTTTCAAAAATTACAATTTAAAAACCTGTTAGAAAACTATTACAAATAACGTAATTATTCAAATTTTGAAACAAACTTAGCCAAGTCAATTCGATCAAAAATTAGTCAGGAAAATATTTTATTTACAAAAGCCGACAAAGGGAACAGTTGCGATTTCAAAATCAGATTACTTACGTCGAAAAAATCATTAATTTTTTAAACATCAATTCTTTTAATAAACATAAAAGAGATCCTACTCAGTTTTATCAAAAAGAAACCAAATCAATTTTAAACCAAACTGGTCTCGCTAATAATTACCTATTCTATTACAGTTATAAACTCTCAAGCCTCAAAACTATAGGGTTGTTCGGAATGTCATTTCGTGTTTTCCCGAGAGAGGATTTAATTGTATTCTTTTGCACCCAACTTCACATTTAAGCCGTATCATTTTTATATGCCTTGAGAGATCANTTAACCACTACATTGACCTGTAGTTTTGTACACACAACCTCCTTGTAAATTTATATCAAAATTCTCGGTAAAAAAAAAGTATAAAACTGACAAATTTTAAAGCTAAACAAGATTTTCAAATTAACCTTACCGAGTGATAGTAAATTCATATTTTCGATGTTTCCAATTTGTTTACGAGTACACCCCTTACCGAAGTAATAGAAATAGTCAAGAAACATTTACATAAAAATGATGTCAACTTTGTCCTAAAACAAAATATCATCAAATAAGGAATTCTTTGAACAAAAACAAGGTTTATCAATGGGTAACCCTTTAAGTCTTCTACTTGCGGAATTCTTCATGGACGATTTATAAATTAAGGAAATCTCAAAAAATCAACTTTTTATGCACACTTTTAATAATAATTTTCAAATTTTAATAGAATTACCAAAAACCAATAAATTAAACCTAACTGAAAATCTCTATATTAATAAATACACTAAATTAAATATTTTACTAAATGATCAAATTAATGTAGATAGTTCTCCATTATTAAATTTAAATTTGCCATTAAAAACTTAATGTCTTGCCTTATCCCTTCTTTTCATTGTACCCAACCCATAAAATTTGTAAACTTTTATTATTTATGCTAATTTTGTAACAATTTTAATCAGAATATCTTCACCTGAAGAAGCTGATGTTATGGTGAAACAATTGTTGTGAACAATTAATATATATCTTTGAAACTTTACTTTCTTTTCTTTTAATCCCAGAGATAAATGACAATTTCAGGCAATAGGGACCTGCCTCTTTTAACTCCATGACTCCTTTCTTCCCTGATCAAGACTAACACTAACAATTATAACGATAAAAGCACTAAACATATCAACGAAAAATATTACATGGAAAGAAAATGGACGCTGAAGTTTATTGTAAATAAAAGATCGAAGCAGATTTCATTTTTTAAGAGTTGAAGCCCCTTATTGGGTTTGTTTAAGTCAGAACTTAATCATTATTATTTTGTTCCAAGATAAAGACATTTCGAAAACAACTAAACCAAGAAGATTATATATAGGAGCAAAACTTAATGCCAAGCCAAGCCCTAAAAGACATCATCACTAATAAGGGATGACCCGTTTGTATGCTGCGTGATGAGCAACTGCACATCAATTTCGATATTGTCAGTTGTCAAACACAGATCGTAAACAAAATTTCATGCGCAATGCCTTACTGCGCAGTGTAGGAACGAACACATGTTGGTAACGCTATACAGCTCGCGCCGTACATTAAAATACTCCTTCTTGAACTGAACAAGCAGTTCAGTTAATTTCATCCCAAAAACTGTTATTTACTAAATTCAAATAATCCTACCTTTTCATCCAATCCGCCCGGACTATTTTAGTCAAATAGCTACATTTTCATTTCTTCTGCGCTCTCTAATGTCCGTTGCAATATTGTGAAAGAATATTACTGAAAGGCGATCCAGACCAACACTTCTGTAAAAAAATGCGAAAATGTCTCATTTATGTATAACTAATATATAGTAATATAAAATAACACGAACGAAAACCAAGTCGAGTCAATTTAACAACTTGCCAGCTAATAAGTTAACTTTACAAGGAGGTTGTAAAATTGCTTAGCAAGCACATTTAACTTGCTAACTTGCTTTACAACTTAATTGTTAGTAACTTGCTTATTAAGCAAATTGAACTTACTTAGCAAGCACGTTTAATTTGCTTAAAAGGCACGTTTGACTTAATTACCAAGCAATTTATCCACCTTGCTTAATAAGCAACTTGGTAACTTGCTGTACAACTTAAGATGCAAGTTATTGTTATTTATTTGCTTATTAAGCACGTTGGACTTGCGTAGTAAGCACGTTTAATTTGTTTAACAAGCACGTTTAACGTGCTTAACAAGCAATTTATCCACCTTGCGTAAGAAGCAACTGACTAACTTGCCCTACAACTTAATTATTAATTGTTATTAACTTGCTTAATAAGCACGTTCAACTTGCCTAGCAAGCATGTTCAAGTTACTTAACAAGCTATTTAACTAACCTGCACGACAAGCTACTTGTTAACTTTCTTGACAAGCAATTTAACTAACTTTGCCAATTAACTTGCTAACTTTCTTTAGAAGTAAATTGTGAACTTGTTTAACAAGCTGGTTTGACTTACTTCAAAGGCAACTTGCTATCATGTTTTACAAACTAGTTGTAAACTAGTTTAAGAAACAAGCTATTAATCATTATTAACTTGCTTAATGTTAGCTTGTTATACAAGCTAGCTGTAAACTAATTTAATTAACAAGTTATTAACTGTTATTAATTTGTTTAGCAAGCATTTTAAACTTGTACCTTGGTATTTGCATTACAAACAACTTGTAAACATATTTAACAAACAACTTGTTATCTTGTTTTATATGTACATTGTAAACATGATCAAAAAGCACCTACAACTAACTTTACAAGTAAGTTGTTAAATAGTTTAATGGACAAGTTGTTAATTGTTATTAACGTGCTTAGCAAACAAGTCCAACTTGCTTAATAAGCAATTTAACTAACTTGCTTAACAAACAACTTGGCAATTGCATTACAAACAAGTTGTAAACTTATTTAACAAGCAATTTGTTATCTTGCATTATAAGTAAATTGTAAACATGATCAAAAAGCACGCTCAACTAGCTTTATAAGTTGTTAACTAGTTTAATAGACAAATTATTTTAATTGTTATTAACGTGCTTAGCAAACACGTCCAATCTGCTTAAAAAGCAACTTGGTAATTGCATTACAAACAAGTTGTAAACTTATTTAACAAGCAATTTGTTATCTTGCATTATAAGTAAATTGTAAACATGATCAAAAAGCACGCTCAACTTTATAAGTTGTTAACTAGTTTAATAGACAAATTATTTTAATTGTTATTAACGTGCTTAGCAAACACGTCCAATCTGCTTAAAAAGCAACTTGGTAATTGCATTACAAACAAGTTGTAAACTTATTTATCAAGCAACTTGCTATCTTGCATTATTAGTAAATTTTAAACATTATTGAAAAGCACGTTCAACTAGCTTTACAAGTAAGTTGTAAACTAGTTTAATAGACAAATTATTAATTGTTATTAACGTGCTTAGCAAACTCGTTCAACTTGCTTAACAAGCAACTTGGCAATTGCATTACAAAACAAGTCGTAAGTATGCTCAAAAAGCACGTTAAACTTGCTTAACACGTTCAACTTGCTTAATAAGCAATTTAACTAATATGCTTAACAATCTACTTGCTTTAAAAAAGTAAATTCTGGTTACTCCCTGCCTCTGCCTACAATAAGTACCTACTGTTCTCGTAATTTTGAGAGCAATCAAATCGTAAATGATACTTCTAAAATATTATAATTGTTTTATTCACCCTGTAGTAGAGAAAATATCTCATAGTTTTTTACTCCGTTGACTTGAAGAAATTATAGTCAAAACCACATATCTAAAACGATTTCTAAACGAGTTCATGGTGAAATTAGTTCTTTATTAGCTCAGTCGACTGTTTCGTCGTAAAAAATCTCATGCTTATAACTATTTGCAAAAGCGTCTAAAGTAGCAATTAAAAACTGTAATAATTTTCTGACAATTGCACCTATAATTACGCTTATAAGCTTGTCTAATATTCTTTACAATGCTTTGAAGAAATAGAGCGAAATAGATGTTATATCTGTACACCTACGTAAATATGTATATAAAAAGGTATTTTTTTTAACGACGTCATTCTATATCGTACTGTACTGAAAAGATCTCAAACAAAAATAAGCAACTACTGGTAGTGCATATAAAATGGTACTTCTTTTTCATTTAATTTCTAGTGTGATAGTGTTTAGTTCAGTATCCTGTTTTTCGTGGGATTATTTGGTCGGTTTAGTGAAGGAATATGAAAATTATAATCGAAGGTACCATGAAAAGGTAATGAATAAAAAATTAATTGTATGCAAAAATTTGAATTTTCTAAAACTTGTTGGGAAGAGTTTCGATATGTTCTGTCTCTTAAAAAACCGACTGTCGATTTTTCTTGACACTTCGTATAAGTAAGTAGATAGTAAAATATTTGTAAAAATGTTTTGGAAGATATGTTAAGTAAAAAATAACTTAAAAATTACTTTTTTTTCACATATTGTAGGTATTTATGACTTTTACATTATCTGAAAGCGATAATATTAGGATTATGGAAAACAATGTTAATACAACTTTACCCTTAACTTTGCATGAAACTGTATGTACAGATTATTATTCCAGATGTGATGATTTTTCAGTAATATATGCGATACAAACAAAAAAAAAATAAGTAGCTATAAGTAATTATTGGAACTTCATAACTGAATATTCAATAAAAAATATGAACCTACTTAATTATACATATGAATATTGGCGAAACAATTGCGGTAATGAACTATTAAAATAAAAACGGATTAAGTTGTTGGTCAATGATTAAAATGTTACTGCCACTTCGTATTTGATCTCATCAGCCCGCCATAATAGTCTCAACAAATCACTGACTAAACTGAAGCTTTATTATACAATATAATAATATCGAGTTACGACTCTATACCGTCATCTACTAGTGACTGGTGCTAACTGAGCGAAATAATTCAAAGTAAGTTTTAAGCATAGGTTTTTAGTCAGCGATTTATCGAAACTACCAGACGTAGATTGCGATTTCGATCTTATTTGATCTCACGAAACACCTATTCTGTTGGGATTAAATAAAAGCGAAATAGCAATCAGTCTATAAAAATAAAACAAAAACATATAATACATTTTGAATGTGGATGGAAATTAAAAACAAAGTTTCCTCAACTGCCAACTCGTTTACAAATTGATTCAAGTAACGAGATAGTACAAAATATTGTCTTTTTTGAAAATCTCTAGAATATGAGGATTAATACAATTTAAAGTAACATAGAAATGGCGTATACTACTTTACACATATTAATTCAAATTTTACCTTATATCAAGAAGAAAACTAAGGAGAGCCTTAAGCGTGAAAATGACCACGTTATCAGTTATTTGTGTAGCAGGTTTTTCTTTCAAATGCTATTAATTATTACATCAATATGTTTTATTGTTAACAACACGGGATGATGAAATTACTTTTGAAATGTCACTAACAAATAACCTGTTCATATCGGCCATTTTGATTGAAAATGTTAAAACCATAGATATGTTAAATTCGAATTGTAGCTAACAGCCAATTTAAAATTAAATATTAAAGAAATAAAACTATTTTACTTTTTAATGTTCCAGTATATTAGAGTCTTGTTTCTTTAATATTATAAAATGTTTCATATCGCACCAACCAAGATATCATTAGAAATTATTAAAACTAAATATTTGTACCTACCTAAGTATAAGAAAAAGAGTAGGCATTATAGAAGACTTGCGATAATAATATATGCAAAAGAAAACAAGCAACTTATATTATAAAAGGCGAACAAAAATTATTTATTTCTAGCAAATATAAAAAACTCTCATTTGCGAACGATTTACATACCGTTTTTTGTTTATCCTTAAATTCATCCGTATTTTGAAACGTTCACTATTATTAATGGCACCTCTAATGTATTTCTAAGATAGCCTCATATATTTAAATAAACACTTGCACTTTATAAGAAAAAGTATCTCTTTTCGATAAAAATTGAATAATAATGATAACAAATTTATTATGACTATTGTAATTTTGTATAAAACTAGGTTGACTGACAGGCCCTGTCGGTAACTCTTGTGACGTCATTTACATCACTAATGAATTCACATGAAATGTAGATCAATCCACAAACATCCATTGAAATATAGATTACCTCTAAATTAATTAAGTTCTGCTTACGTAAATGTAAACTAATGTAAAGTATAATAATTTTGCGGAGATGTATTGCTAGATTATTTGGTGATTTAGATTTTAGTTTTTGACTACATAATTTAAGTTTTATTTAATTTAAATTTTATAGAATAGCAAACTCCAATTTGGTTATTTTCTGAAAACTCCAAGAAAACTGGACGAAGATAAGATAGAGGAAAAGGCATTACGTAAGTATTAGAATGTGTAGATAACAATTTTCAATGGTTCAATCAAAGAATAAAAAGTTTTAAAAAAGTATACTAACTATTTGAACGTATGTGTTCATTATTTACCAAATAAATTAAAATTAAACGTGTACATGTTTTAACTTAGTTGTGCATTTTTTTTGCAGTCAGTAAAACAGTTTTTTTTATTTTCAGTAGAATTAATTTCACTAGTAGCCTCGCAAACAATAAATAAACCTACATTTACTAGTGAATTCGCTGTTGAAACAGACCCTTCATTGATGGATATTTCAAATAATAAAGAAAATAATTTGTTAGTGGGAAATATTGTAACTACTGCAAATGATAAGTTACTTGCAGAAAATATCAATAGTATCGACTTAGACGAAGCACAAAGTTCCGTTAGCAGTTCGACAGCACAGCTGGACAATAAATCTTCAAACAACAAAGAAACAACTGCAAAATGGTTATCTTACATTCCTAAAAATTACTCTACAATCAAAGGTATCGTGCAGGATTTACCGAAACGTACCAAAAAACAAATTATAATATAGTTGTCAAACATTTTAACTGTCTATAAACTATGTAACGCAAAATTCATATATTTTTGACCCCTTTTTCTCCTACTTAATAGGACCGTACCGCCCGGCCTGAACCTTCCCCCTCCTCATCCGTTAGGGTTGCCAAGTTTAATATTTAGATTGTTAGGACGAGTAGGACACTAGAGAGAAGATGATGACAAACATATAACATCTATCTAACGGTTGGCAACCCTACTGCATTGTAAAAGTTGTAGGATTGAATTCAGGCAACAAAGTTTTTTTTATTTTCAACAATAATTCACTTTTAAATAAACAATGACAATTTCTAATTAACATTAAACCGTGGTGACCTATTGCTAAACAACGAAATTCATTTAGAGAATTATTCTTTCTATTCAAACCATGACCCCCACCGCATAGCGGCACAGCCCCCCTACATAAACAGGACCGTAACGTCAATCTGGACCCCTCCTCCTCCCCATTTTACGTTACGTAGTTTGTAGACAGCCTTTAGAAATAAATAGAAATTCATCAGTTGACAAATGTTTGTTTTTTATACTGTTATTTAGTTTTTTAATAAATAAATTTTAACTTAGTTGCAATTTTATTTTAAAACGTTAACTTATAGAATAGATTAATCGTAGATTTAAATGTAAAACTGTATTAATA